GTTTCTTTATCCATTCCTCTGTGCTGGGCACCTGTGCTGTTGCTAAGTTCTTGCTGTTGTGAACTGTGCGTGAAATCCATTTTTAACTGGACTAAATAGTTACAATTTTGTGATGAGGATATAAGTGACTATTGGATTTATTTACAAACATGGCTTATAAAGCAATAAAAAATTCTGGAAAAATTCCTCTGTATTCTTTCCTTTGAAACTGATGGGGCTATAATCCCCCTTTTCGGGTTTACGTGTTAGAGTAAAAGACCTGCTATTTATCACATATACAAGGGGAGGACTTGCCCTTTGTAGTGAGTCTGGTCAATTTAACGCGTGACATTAAAGATTTTGGTTGAGAGGTGATACTAGACTATTAAGTAGCAAGATGTTCTAGTTAAGATTTTGATATCTCTTTAAGCAAAGTACTTTCAAGGTCAAAAATAGTTTTAGGACACAATGAATGTACAGGCAGATCATGGGTTATAAATGAAACCCTAAAGCAGTCTTTAAGTCAAATTTATAGATTAAAGTAAACAGGTACGTAACAGTTCTTATTCAGTATCATTCAGTACAATATTTTTCTTTTAGTATTTAACACATATCTTTTCCTCCTTTTTCACATAAAATACATAATAAGCACTTCCAAACTAACTATAACATGCTAAACATAATGAGTATAGTACTTAATACAATAATGATAAAAGTAACTACTTATCGTACTGTGTCCTAAGAGAGGATCTGTGTTGTGTATATAGTACTGTAAAAAGTATTAAACAGTTCTTAAGATAGTTTAGATTTAAAAAAAATAAAGTCATGAGTAAAAGTTAATGCTTTCTGTCCATTGATGATGTCTATACATGTGGCTTTAATGAGGTAATGCTGTGCTAGTGTTAATAATTGAACGATGCAGGAGAACATAATGGAGAAAAAGTTACTGTTAATGAAGGTGGGCCTGCTGTTAGAGAGTGTGGACCTGGCACTGGTGGATAAAGGTTTGGTTCTACTGCAGGAAAGAAGGAATTTTGCTAGTGGAATCAACTTCTTAACGGGCATCAAGGGAGATTTGTCCAGTGTTAATTATTGTTCTCATCATAAGTGGTTCCGTAGCAGCAGATGCCCTCAGTAACTGCCTGGTAAACTTTGGTGAACCTCTCTCTATGGTAGAACCTTGTCTGTCTAACTTTGATACCCCTGCTTCAGTGTGATGAAAGGCTTTAGCCCCTAAAATCCTTTTTCCAGTTCTTGAATTTTTAATTCCAAGGCTAGTTCCCCAAATGCTGTCAAATAATTCTCTAGTTCCACAAGGTCTTTGTTGGCTTGTACATCATGGGAGTTGAGTAATGTTTTCACTGATACTTAACAGCAATTTGCTGTCTGTGTTAACCATAGCTTGCTCTTTGAAGGGTTAATAAGGGGAAAATTTAAGCCAACTCAAAGTTCCACACTTAACACAGCATTAACACCATCTGATTCAACTTTAAACCGTGGATATAGTTCTTATTCCTCATCACAAAGTAGTGCATGCATTTGCTTTTATAAACTATTGTATTTAACTCATTTTTTTTTATTCAAAAGACTTTATGTCTTCTTCTTAAGTATAGATTCTCTCCACATGTGATCTTAACCCAGGGGCTTACTGTATTCAAGTGATTTTAGATAGTTAGGTTTTGTTTCCATTTGTCCGCCCGTTATTATCAAGGGTGAAAGACGAGGCTTTCGACTCCCATAGAGTTACAGTCTTAGAAACCTACAGGGACAGCTCCACCCCGTCCTATAGGGTCACCGTGAGTTGGAAACCACTCTGTCTCAGTGAGTGAGTGAGACCCTTTATTAACCAATTTAAGCGAGATCTTTTCCATATTGTTAAAAGACATCAGGTAGCATTGAAGATGAGTGTGTGCAAAGGGGCTTCAAAAAGTTCATGGGGAAAAACATCCATTAACTTTTTATTCCTTTTACTTTGGGTGTAGGTGATATTATTATTATTGTAGATTCAGATCATCGGTCTTGCCCTCAATATATTAAGCTACTATCAACCTCTCATTAGCTTACTCGACCCCCACTCTGGTTTATCTTCTCCCTCTTATGGATTACTTTCACCAAGTTTCATCTTCTCTTTCACCCACGTTAAGACCTGCTGCCCCTCAGACCTACTGTTTCGTCTTCCCTCCCTTGTCCTCTCTACCCTTGGTAACCTCCGAAGTCTGTTTCTTTAGTATGAGGGTCTTTGTCTTGGGTTTTTTGTTTATCTTATTTGATTTTGTGTATAACAGTGGTCTTATACAATATCTGCCCTTTTGTGATTGACCACTTTTACTCAGGGGAAGAAAAATTCCTTTATCTTTTAATGACATTTTCTCTTTAACTTTTTGAAGCCTCAAAAAAACCCTTGTTAATCTCTTTTCCATGGCAGCTTCCGGGCCCATTATGACTTACAGGTTAAGGTGGCTCATGTAAGTAATAGAGTCCATTTAAAAAGCATTTATCCAGTAAGAAATTTTTGAAACTTGAGTTAAGATTTGTATTATTTTAGCATTCCAGTAAATGTTGAGCTTCACCATAATTTGAGTCACTAAAATAGTGAGTCATTACCCCTCAATCAATTCCCAGACTTGAGCCAATTTACAGGCCCACACCTCTTGAATGAAGGCGAGGCGGGGTCCCTTTGAGGATAAACCCCACTACACCACCAAAATTCATACTGCTAGTCTTTCTCCCAATTTTCCCCCAAAGTACCTATGACTGTTTACAAGAGTGATTGTTCATTAGGGGAAAGAAAGCAACCAGACTTCTCAGGGATTACTAGACACTGGCCCAGAATTGACGCTAATTCCAGGAGACCCAGGATGTTTTGAAGGCCCACCACTCAGAATGGCGGCATGTAGAAGTCACGTCATTAGTGGCGTCTTAGCTCGGGTTGTTTAACAGTGTGTTCAGTGCGTCCCCAAACCCACCCTCTAGTAACTCCCCAACTCCAGAATGTATCATTGGAATAGACATACTCAGCAACTGGCAGAACCCCCATGTCGTTGGATCCCTGGCCTGTGAAAATACGGCTGCTGGGTAAGAAAAACCAAGTAGAAGCCATTAAACGCCCTCTGCTTCAGAAAATACTAACCCGAAAGCAGTGCTGCCTCCCTGGAGGGGTTGCAGAGCTTAGTGCAGCCATCGAAGACTTGAAGGATGCGGGCCTTTGGCAAGATGGAGTGGCGCAGTGGCTGTGTGAGAGCAGTGGTGAGGGTGGTGCAGACCGGCAGTGTTTCGCTCTGTCGTACATGGGCTGCTATGAGTTGGGATGGCTTGTTTGTGCCTAACAGCAGCAACAACAACTCCATTTAACTCACCTGTTAGGTCTGGGGGAAGAGTGGCTCTCGGAGAATAACAGTGGGTTATCACAAACTTAACCAGGCGGTGACTCCAAGTTGCAGCCTTGGACATTTTCTCTTTAACTTTTTGCTCTTTAACTTTTTGAAGCCTCAAAAAAACCCTAGTTAATCTCTTTTCAGTGGCAGCTTCTGGGCCCATTATGACTTACAGGTTAAGGTGGCTCATGTAAGTAATAGAGTCCATTTAAAAAGCATTTATCCAGTCAGAAATTTTTGAAACTTGAGTTAAGATTTGTATTATTTTAGCATTAAAGATGTGGTTTCATCCGTGTTAGCTAAAACCTTGAGCCTGCATGTCTTCAGTAAATTTGAGTTTTAAAAACCGTTGACCTAATTCAGAGCTTGGACTTTGTGCCTCAATTTATCTTTTATTTTAATTTTATATTCCATCATTTCTGTTGTTTGTACTGCTACTCAGTGCTGCCTTGTGGTGTTTTCATGACCGACGTTTGGGGTTTGTGTAAAGGTTATTCGTTCCATAAAACGTATCCTGATGCTCCCTTCACCTCACCTGATGCTTTGCCTCTACCGAGCCACAGGATGCCCACCAAGGGGCGTCCTGCTTAGACGGCCAGCCTGTGAAGGAGCTGCCTGTTGCTGAATCCCTGAAGTCATTTGGTGTCATTTGCAGAATCCACAACGTGGAACAGAATGGGAAGATTAATTCCATCTGCTTTTCTTTCATTGCAGGCTCTGTACAACTCGATCAAGAATGAGAAGCTCGAATGGGCAGTGTAAGTGTGCTGGATGCCAGCCTTCTCCTAAATGAATTGCTTGCCCTTTTCTTAGTCTTTATGTCTTGGAGGTGACCCTTGAAAGCTGATGAAATATGCATGGCCAGTTCTCCTTTTACACCAAGTCTCTTAGGTGTTTTGTATAGAGCCTAAAGTACACCTTACCCCTGACTATGTACCCTATGTCTTTTCCAGCCTCTTCCTCTTCCGATTCTAATCTGGTTTTGTTATACTATGAACAATTACCTGGTTTTTTGTTTTGTTTTATTTTGTTTTTAACCAGTTGTAGTTGGGAGAAAGTTTACAGAACAAACTACCATAGAAACTCGTGTATAAGCCGAGTTGTTCAGCACATTTTTAATGCAGTTTTTGTGGTAAAATTAGGTGCCTCGGCTGATATTTGGGTCGGCTTATACTCGAGTGTATACGGAGTTTTCTGTTCAGCAATTGATACTTTATTTTGTTTTTGTGACGTTAGGTTCAGTGTGCTCAATAGAACAGCACTCTTCCTGCTTCCGCTCTGGATCTCCTGTCACGTTTGTCCGACTGTGCTGCCTTCCCAGGTTGCTCAGGGTGTAGTTATCTTGTTTCCTGTGCCGGACAACGATCCTCAAAGAAAGTTTGCCGATAAACTCATACAATGTTCTAAAATCCGATAAAATGATTCTGCCACCATCGATTTAGTTTCCTTCTCCTTCTCATCAGCAGAGATGCAGCTCAGCTTCCTGTTGCACTAACTATGCAAAGATACTGGTCAATATTGTACAAGGAAAACGGCTTTGGGAAGTTATTAATTTTGCCACAGGTTAGAAATGAACTTGTATGATACCAAAGACTCTTGAGTCCAGTTCAGTTTTACTTTTCCTCCTGTTTCCGTCTCTCAGACCAATATAATCTTTATATTGATCTACTGAGGGTAAGGAATTTGGGTTTTTCTTTTATTTACTGTACCAATTTTATTTCATTTATTAAAAAAAAATTTATTTTTTCTTGTTGAACCCTCCATTTTTTGTCCCTCTCCCTTTTCCCACCCCCATTCCTGGCCTTCTCTTAGTCGTCAAAGTCTCATCTTTTGGTGTAGAAACCAAATTTCTTCTTCTTTGTTTTTGCTTATAACAATGGTGCTATTAAATACTTATTTTGTAAGATAAGTTGACCTAAGTTAATTATTGACTTTAATGATTGATTTTAACTGAAGTTGTTCCAGGAACTTATATGAGCAATACAAAGGCGTATTACCAATCTCCAAAGGGAGGGATGCAATTTGAAATGTTCTATGAAACCATTTGGTAGTAAAATATAGTATTTTCAAGCCCAATAATAGGTCCTGGCTTATAAGACAAGTTTTGCTTGCCCTTTTTGGTATTATGTAGATTTTGATGTCTTGGGCTCCCAAGACGTACAGCAGATTGTGTTTATAACCAGCAAGTACTTGGAACCTGTGTCCCCCCAAAAGCATCGTCATGGCTGCTATCTGTAAGTGGGCAGTGTGAGCTCACACAAGAAGCAGATTCTTGTGACGTCACTGGAGCATTATGCTCAGGAAACCTGATTCTAGAGGCCACCAGTTTCTGTTTCAAATCCCAACTCTGTCATGTACTAGCCAGATCAGCGGACCAAATTGACTTATTTTTCTGGGCTGGTTTCCTCTTGCATCAGAAAGGAATGATCAAGTCTGGGAACACTGGAATGTTCTAAAACACTGACCATAAAGCAGGTTATCCCTAATGGTAGCATCACTGTAGCGTTTAAAGCTCTGATATCTGTCTTCTTATTTCTCACTTACGTTCTGACATGTCTACATTTATTCTTCCTCCCGGACCAGAGACAGGCCACTGTCGTAGTTGATCATCCAGTTAGCCTTCTTCTTTTCACGTGCAAGGTGACAAGAGGAGGCCAAGTGGTCAACTGATAGGATTTCCCATCCTACTAGTCTGTTAACTTCTGGATTTGACTGTTCATCAGTGTTTGCTCAAGCTGATGTCCTGGGAAAGAGCACGGTGGGACCCAGAGTATGTTACACAAAGGGGTGATGACCAATATTGAGAGTAGCCATACCAGGAGTCTAAGGGGAAGGTAGGGGGAGAGAGGGGGAACCGATCACAATGACCTATCTATAACCCCCTCCCAGTGGGATGGACAACAGATAATGAGTAAAGGGAGACATCGGCCAGTGCAAGACATGAAAAAATAATACTTTATAAATTATTGAGGATTCATGAGGGAAAGGGAGGGAGGGGAAAAATGAGGAGCTGATACCAAGGGCTCAAGAAGTAAGAAAATGTTTTGAGAATGATGATGGCAGCAGATGTGCTGGAAACAATGGATGAAGGTATGGATTGTGACAAGAGTTGTACAAGCCCCAATAAAGTGATTTATTATAAAAAATGGGGGGAGTGATGAGTCACACGGGTTGCTGAGAAAATCTGAGATGATCAGTGTTGAACAGATTCCTCTCCTGTAGCCCTGTGTGCTCTCTTTAGTAGTCTGATGCACGATTTGCATTTCTGCGGGAGATAAAGGGCTAGTATCACAACCTCTTTAGTAATGCGTCCTTTGTTGAGATTAACAATAATAACTCACCTTTTGTCATGTGTTCAAAGTCGGGTTCTCTAGAAAATGCTCCGGGAAGCACTGCTGAATATCGCTTCGGGTGGTGTTTCAGATCAGGGACTAAGCTGCTTCCGTGTGCATGCTTACATGTGCTGCAGCGCTCCGCCTGCTTTCTGTGTGCTCTCTCACTACGACCTGTTGGCAGATGCCCATGACCCCGTGGCTGCAACAACGGGCTCAAGGACAGCAGTTGTGAGGACCATCCACGACTGGACAGCGTTTCATTCTATTGGGTCCTCGGTTGCTACGAGTCACTAGCAACATGACCAAAACAACATGCAATGACATTGACCTCCCAAAGATTAACACTAAGAATTATTATTGCTTTTTCACTAATCTCTTTCTTTACAGTCTTATTCATTCTTGAGGATTCCCATGGCTAGCTATCTCTGTAAAGATGCTTTCCAAATTCAGAGGCCCAGCCCTCTCCTCTTCCCCACGTTTCCATTCCACATGGTCAGCATCTTCTTGACGGTGCCACTCAAACGCCTTTGTCATTGAACTTGTCATCTCGCAGAGCATAGGTTCTCAAACGTCTTTGGCTGACTGCCTCCTTTTCAGAAAACCAATCCCTCAGTGCCCCCGACAATGAAAAGCTGTGTTTTCTATCCCGTAAACCAGGATCAAGTGGGGGTATCTACTTTTACAGCCTCCTTGAATCATTCCAGTTCCCACCCCCCACGAGACGGTATTGCCTAACGGGGGAAATGCTGCTCTAAACTTGGGGCCTCCGTTTCTGTCAGTGTCTCCAGCCTTTTCATACTACTCCTAGCTTGAAGTTCTCACACCAAGTCTGACTCCTCTCTCGCTACCACATCCACTTCTGCAGGGACACAGCTCCCCCGCTCCCCTCTCCATCCCCGCCCCGCACCCCCAATCTGAGTTCAAGGATCCCTACTCTTTCCCTCCTTACAGATGCCACCCTCTGCAGCTTTGCTGCCCTCTGCATTGCTCTGTTTGAATCCCACCTGCACCATCAGACTTCAGTTCACCCCTACCCAGTCTACCAGTCATCCACTTTGCTCCCCATTATCCGTTTTCACACAGTCTCCGTGTCAACCACACTGCCACTATGTTCAGTTGCCTGTGCATGCCCAGGACTTCCTGCCTTTCTGTCATCGTCCATGAAACGATGTCTGCTTGGCATCCGCACCCTACCCTTGTGTTCAGTGCACTACCTGCCTGCCTACCCGCCTTTAAAGCCCAATGCTGGTTAAGCCCATTTTAGCACCTTATCTTCCCTGATCGTACCAACCAGAAATGACAGCACCTTGACTACTTTCGTTTTACTCTCTCTGAGAACACTGTCAGTGTCCCCTCCTCGTGGTAGTTGCTTGCAGAAATGCTTCATTAGATTTGTAAGCTTCCTGAGGCCATAGAACATTTTCTGGATTCACCGCTCTCTCTGCATCATCCTCTGTGGAGCAGAGTGCAGTGAAGACTCCACAAAAGGCCAAAGAACAAAAATCATATCATTGTGTGCTCACCTCCCTGATACGATTCCTGAAGACAAATGGGTGCATAAGCAAATGTGCCAAAGAAAGCTGATGGTGCCCGGCTATCAAAAGATACAGTGTCTGGGGTCTTAAAGGCTTAAAGGTAAACAAGCAGCCATCTAGCTCAGATGCAACAAAGCTCACATGGAAGAAGCACACAGGCCTGTGTGACCACAAGGTGTCGAAGGGATCAGGTAGCAGGCATCATCAGAACAAAAAAATCATATCATTGTGAATGAGGAGGACTGCAGAGTGGAGACCCAAAGCCCATCTGTAGGCCACTGGACATCCCCTTACAGAAGGGTCGCAGGGAGGAGACAAGCCAGTCAGGGTGCATTGTAGCAATGATGAAACATACAACTTTCCTCTAGTTCCTAAATGCTTCTTCCTCCCCCACTATCATGATCCCAATTTTACTTTGCAATTCTGACTAGAACAGAGGATATACACTGGTACAGATACGAACTGGAAACACAGGGAATCCAGGGCGGATGATCCCTTCAGGACCAGTGGTGTGATTGGCAATACCTGGAGGGTGGAGGGAAGGTGGGGTGGAAAGGGGACCCAATTACAAGAATCTACATATACCCTCCTCCCTGGGGGACGGACAACAGAAAAGTGGGTGAAGGGAGACGTCGGACAGGACAAGATATGACAAAATAATAATTTATAAATTGTCAAAGGTTCGTGGGGATGGGGAGGGGGGAAAATGAGGAGCTGATGCCAGGGGCTTAAGTGGAGAGCAAATATTTTGAGAATGATGAGGGCAATGAATGTACAAATGTGCTTTACACAATTGATGTATGTATGGATTGTGATAAGAGTTGTATGAGCTCCTAATAAAATGATTTTAAAACAAAAAAACGTAGGAAGCATAGCAGCCATCATGCC